GGTGGGTGGGTGGGTGTGTGGCCATCTCATGTGTGTGTGTCAGAGTCGCATCACGCCCCGCCACCTGATGTTGGCCATCAAGAACGACGAGGAGCTCGCCAAGTACACGAAGGACGTGACCATCTCCATGAGCGGCGTCATGCCCAACATACACTCAGTCCTGCTGCCCAAGAAGTACACACACCACACACCACACACAGGGAGGTGGGATGGCGGCCATCTGTGTGTGTGTGTGTGTGTGATCAGGTCTAAGGCCAAGAAGAATAAGGAGGCGGCGCCCAGCCAGGGCCAGGAGTACTGAAGAACCGACACAGACAGGAGTACTGAAGAACCGACACAGACACAGACACACCGTAGAGACTGACAGACGACACCTACACGACACAACACAACACAACACACACATACATGGACATGAGTAGGGGTTTGGGGTAGATCTGTGTGTCGGCCGGCCGCCTGACTTCCTCTCTCTCTCTCTGTGTGTGTGTGTGTGTGTCTCTTTTTTGTCTTGCCGGCGGTCGTGCGGCCACACACAGACACAGAAACACAGATACACACAGATGGGGCGTAGCGGCGATTTTGCTGACAGCCATCTCCCCAGCCATACACACAGACAGCTCTGTACAGACACCCACGGCCCACAATTGAGGACAGACAGATTGATAGACTGTCTGCACTGCACAGACAGACAGACAGAGGAACGCGCCTTCTCTGTGCAGACACACACACATCCATCCATCCACCACACACACGACTGGCGCGAGGAGGGACACTTTCCCCCACGCCGCCCTCCGCCTTTCCGTAGGTGGATGTGTCCTTTGTGTGGATGAGCGTGGCTCGTTGTGTGATCAATTAGCGGCTGTGCGGTCTCCCTGCCCACATGGATGGATGGATGGATGGAACTCTGTGTGTGTGTGTGTGTGAAGGACCCAGCTCTTCTCTCTTTCAAGCATCGCAGTAAGTCCGATGTCCGTCGCGAGTTGTCAATTGCATCCATCCCTGCAGCGCAGCACATGACACACACAGGAATTCACCAACAGTGCAACGCGCCAGTGAGAACCGTCAGCGAATTTCACACACCTCTGTGTGGCCATCAGACTTGCTGTTCTCCTTCTGCCAACCCACACAAATACTGACACCTACAGGCCCATATCCGACGTGTGTGGGTTGGCCGTGCAATTGAGTTGACCGACCTCTGAGGCTGAATGGATTGAGTGGACACACACTGGGTCCGCACACACACACACACACACGGCGGTCCCTTCGCCCGCGCAGACAGACAGACAGACAGACAGACAGAGCACGGATGAAAAACAGGTAGGTACGCAACAGCTCAATGAAGTACCTCACCCTCCGCCCCCCTGTTTTGAGACACACGCACAGCACACGTCCGTCGCCATGATGTATAGCGACTCTGAAACAATCTACATCGACGCAAACGACGCATGAAGGCCGTTCGTTACCCACACACAGAGAGAGAGGGGCTCGCGTGTGATCGGCCACCGGTCAGCCAGCCCGGCACTAATAAATGCGTGAGGAATACCCCCCCCCCCCCACCCACCCACCCACCATCTCACTTACGCCCAATGGTATCAATGGCTGCCTTTCTCTCTGCCTGCCTGGCTGCCTGTCCACACACACGCAGGCAGGTCAGCCCGCACGTTCCCCAACCCCCCTCACACACACACGAAGGCTCGCTGTGTGCGTGGCACACCCGCCAGCAGCCCACACACACATGCACGCACACAATGCACGGTAGGTAATGCAGCGACTACGTAATAGGAGTGAAAGGAAACATCCTTTCACTCGTCGGCAGCAGGACACACGCGGCCTCTCTCTCTCTCTATTGCCGGCTGGCCTGTCGGTCTGTTTTGTCACATCACACAGAGACGACTCGAGCGCCAACCGACCCGCGAGCACGTGATCCATCGATCGGCATCTGTGCAGTCGGTCAGATGCACAGCGACTGCTGCACGGCACTGGTCCGGTAGAATCGCCGGAAGGCCGTCTCTAGGGCTGACCGGTGGGAGGGCTTTTGCTGCACACACACGTACACACACGAACAGAGGGAATGAGCAGAGAGAATGGTTGGCGGGCGTGTGCGGTGTGTGGCTTGTTACAGGGTCAAGAGTGATCCGTGACGCGTCGGAGCAGACGAGCAGCAGATAGGGCCGCCCGGAGAGGAAGATCGGACTCATGTGCAATAAATTCCAGAACCTCTCACCTGCAAAATACCAACATTATTGTGCACGTTGGTGACTCTGTCTCTGCCTGCTCTGTCTGCGTGTGTGGGTGTGGTGTGGGTACCCTACCGACCGTCTCTCTTTTGGTTGAGTATTCTGATGATGAGGTCGTCGCTCATCTGCACACTGTGCGAACCCTTCACCCGCTCTATCTGCGGGGAAACACACACACACATACCGTATGACACACCACAGTGCGCAGAAAACACACAAACATCCATCGGGACGTACACACACGTACAAATCAAATGTGTGTGTGGGGTCTTTCTTGCTGTTCGTACGTGTTGGTGCAGCTGCCGCACGTCGTGTGGGCTGGTCTCCGGGCAGAACAGACATCGCGTGTTGATGCCCAATATGTCCCACGGCTCATATCTGCAGACAGACACACATAATGACGAGACAAACGAGACACACGTCATATGCACACACAGCCACACGAGACGTGACAGACGGGCCTGTGCGCATCTGTGCGTGTGGATACCTAGTAAGGTCACAAAAGGCTTTTGACGCCAACACAATCGGACTGCTCACACCACACCACACCCGCAGTCCAACCACACCGTTGTCTCTGTGTGTGTCTTCACACGCACTTGTCAGGCATCGCTGGGTCGGTCAGTATGGGGGCGAAGGTAAGACTCTCACTCTCCTGCACACACAAGGTGGATGCGGTCGACTGGCTGGCTGGATGGCCGGTTCACTCACTCACCTTGACATAGTAGTCAAAGTCAGCGTCGAACAGTCTGTCCATGACGCTGTGCACGAGCATCCGGCCCTCGTACGTGTTGCTGGTGCCGCTGTGCGCCAGCATCGACAGCTTTACACGCAACTCGTCTACGTGACTCTGACACCATCACAACCACACGCACCCACACACACATGGATGGATCCATCTGTGTGTCGCGCGTGGGCAGGCAGGCAGGCAGGCAGGCGTGTGCCCACCTGGAGGAATCGGACGGTGCTCATGAGCTCGTCCTGTTGTTTGTCGATGAGCATGTCGCCGAAGGGCGACGGCGACCGCCGGCCGCCAAACGAGCTACTCTCAAAGCCCTCCAACGGATCCACCAAACAGTTACACCGCTCGTCCATATTCAGCGACCTGAACAACACAACACACACACACACAGGCGCAAAGACAGACAGAGAAGAGAGATGCCCGTCTGCCCGCCTGTGTGTGTTTGTGTGATTGTGCGTACGGTATGCCGTTTCGCAAGGCGTCTGGCTGCGATGTGCTGGAGTCGCTGACGAGTCGGTCGTTGTCGTCTTCGCTGACGCTCTCCAGCCCCCTGTGCGGCACGCCCTGCCGGCTGGACGCGCCGCTAGAGGTGTGGCCATGGGTGTGATGATGGTGGTGGGGGTGGGGGTGGGTGGCCGCCGTGGTGCTCGACGATGACGACATCTGACCGCCACTCACAGACGAGCCTCCTGACCCTGTCCATATGAGCCGACACACACACACACAGGCGTCCACACGTGTGTGGTTGGTAGGGTGGAAAGGTGGATCGATTGATTGTCGTCAAGTCAGTCACCTGTGCTGGCGGTGGTGTTTTGGCGCATCCGTTTGGTCCATGCGGCGTCGGTGCACTTCTCGAGGTCCAACGATGACTTCCGCTTGTCGCTGAGCGACAGGGGAGTGTCAAACCTGACATATCCGACACACACACAGCCACACATCAGACCTCGTCTGGCCATCGATCCATCCCCCCGGGTGTGTTGTACTGTTTGCTTGGCTTACTGGATGGACTCATTCGAGGGCACCGAGTGAACGGGCAGCGGCGGCGGGTGTCTGAAGGCCACGCCCCAGGTGGTCGCCGACGAGTCGTCCATCATCTCTTCGTCGTCGCCAAGTGTGAAGCCACTGTCGTGCTCCATCCCCCTCGCCATTCCTCGACAAAGCAAAAGTCCTCCCTCCTTCACTCAACGGGGATCGACCAGTGCTTCTTTCAACAAGACAATCTGCCACGAAATGGGCACCACTCAACTCACAGAAGTGTTTGCCCTGCGATGGTCGCACAGAAGAGGCGGGAAGTTGTGTTTTGGTTTGATGGTGATGAAGGATTTCCGTGGAAGGTTTTCCGTAGGGTTAGGGTTAGCACTGGTCACTGCCCGCGGCCAGGCGCATTTCCGGCCGCTTCGGTGAGGACACAAGGTGGGCCACTCTACCTGTTTCGTTCGCTCCGTGTTTCATGTGTGAGATGTTTGTGGCAACACGATGGGCGACATAATTGTGCGAAAAGGCCGGTGAGGACCTTTCCTGTAGTTAGCTGAATAGAGGATCTGCTGGGCGGTAAGTCCCAGAGTAAGAGTGCTTTTACTTTAATAAGACCGATGGACTGGCCAATCAGTCAAAGTTGTTTCTGTCCATGTATGGCATCATGAAGGGTGGTCAACACAGATCCTACTTCGGTGATGGCTGATAAGATCGTGTCTCCTCAGAATGCTTTCCTTGTCTTTCCTTGTCTTCT